CTCGCTCTGGGCGCGCTCTCTGCGCCTGGACCCTGGATGGTGGAGATTGATTGTGCAGAGCTCCAGAGAACACCGCTGGATTGCTACACGCCTTCCCCAGACCCCCGCGACCTATCCATTCTTTCATTTGTGAGTCATCCACTAAATAAATCTTACTTTTAACTACGTGGAGTGGCCTTTATAATTTTCCCCAATACTGGTCATCAACTGGAAGGCTATCACCATCTCCCAGGAGCAAGATCCTGCCAATATCAAGTGGGGTGAGGCTGGTGCCCAGTATGTTGTGGAGTCCACTGGTGTCTTCACCACCATGGAGAAGGCTGGGGCCCACTTGAAGGGCGGGGCCAAAAGGGTCATCATCTCTGCCCCTTCTGCTGACGCCCCCATGTTTGTGATGGGTGTCAACCATGAGAAGTATGACAACTCACTCAAGATTATCAACAATGCTTCCTGCACCACCAATTGCTTAGCCCCCCTGGCCAAGGTCATCCATGACAACTTTGGCATTGTGGAAGGACTCATGACCACAGTCCACACCACCCAGAAGACCGTGGATGACCCCTCTGGGAAGCTGTGGCGTGATGGCCATGGGGTTGCCCAGAACATCATCCCTGCATCCACCGGTGCTGCCAAGGCTGTGGGCAAGGTCATCTCAGAGCTGAACGGGAAGTTCACAGGCATGGCCTTCTGTGTTCCTACCCCTAATGTGTCTGTTGTGGATCTGACATGCTGCCTGAAAAAAAGCTGCCAAGTACGACGATATCAAGAAAGTGGTGAAGCAGGCGCCGGAGGGCCCACTAAAGGGCATCCTGGGCTACACTGAGGACCAGGTTGTCTCCTGAGACTTCAACAGTGACCCCCACTCTTCCACCTTCCATGCTGGGGCTGGCATTGCTCTCAATGACAACTTTGTGAAGCTCATTTCCTGGTACAACAATGAATTTGGCTACAGCAATAGGGTGGTAGACCTCATGGCCTACATGGCCTTCAAGGAGTAAGAAGCCCGCCCTGGACCACCCACCACAGCAAGGACAGCAAGAGAGACCCTCCGCTGCTGAGCAGTTCCTGTCCCATCTCAGTCCCCGATACTGGGCATCTCCCTCACAGTTTCCATCCCAGACCCCCAGAACAACAGGACAGGCTTAGGGAGCCCTACTCTCTTGAACACCATCAATGAAGTTCACTGCACCCATAATAAAATAAGTTATGAGATTTGAATATAAATAAAGTTTATATGGGGTCTAAGATATAATGGTTTAAGGTATGGGAATATAAAAAGAATATTTTGGGAAGAAGGAAAATATATGAAATGCAACTTCACTTAGATAAAGTTTCTAATGAAGCAGAGGGCTAGATTTCTGACTTAGGAGGATCTACCTAAAGGCTTCCATTATGAGAACAGAGGTTCATGGAAACGGCACCTTGGTTTCAAGCCACTTTTGGGTGAGGTAGGTAGCAGGGATGTAACAGCTAGACCATGTGACATCAGCGCATGGACATTCTACTGTCTCCTGGAGAGCCCTGGCATTCCATGTGATGTCACCAGTGTTGTGGCAACACCAACTGTCATTGGGGCATTGGTGCAGTGTCTCGTGTTTCACCTACAGACATGCTGACTAGACTGAACAGGATTCTTGGGAGACAGGATGTCGAGCACAGGGAGATCAGAGGGAGGCAGAAAGAAGATGGCCTTCAGTCTCCATGTCACACACCAAGAAACAAATGGTTCTGGGGAAAGCACAGTGAGTCCTGGGAAAGGGATGAGGAGATTCCTGAAGAAGGAAGGCTTCAGCTGATCCTTCCAGGAGTGGGGCTCAGGAGGGGAGAGTTTCTGAGAAGCAATGGGCCTATCCTGGTCCTCTGAGTTCTTCAAGAGCAGACCCAGAGATGAGGATTTCCCATGGTTAGTTTGCAGAGAGCCAGGGATGGTCAATGCTGAAGCTGCTCTGTTGAGGGCCCTCTGCTTTCACTCTGAGTGGGAAGGAAGCACACAGGAACTGAAGAGGTTTCAGATCCAGCCCTGCACTTCACCCACACTGGATTTCTTTTGGTGTATGTCACTAATAACAGGGAGAGTAAGGTCCCCTGGCCAGAGCTAGAGAGTCTCACATTTTAAATAACAACCACTGGCAGGGCAGGAGCCACCAAGCATTGCTGCATGTCAGTGACCCCTAAGGTTTCAAAGTTCCTGCCCTCTCACTAGCCAGTCCTCTTTCCTCTACCTTGAGTGCAGGACTGGGACATCAATCTTCCTGTAAGTATTTGTTCTTGGTGACTGAGGCCTCACCTAGGGATGCCCAATCCTTAGGTATTTTCAGTCATACCTTTCAATAGTTGATAACACCTCTGCTAACATCATGATGGTTGAAATGTATTCTGCTGGAGGTTTTGGCAAAAGTTCCATCATTTCCTATGTGACTCATCATTGTTCTGACAGGACCCACATAATCCTCCACCACCCCCATACATTGTAAATGCCCAGTGGATCTTCTCTAATGTGCTTGTTCATCTCATGAAACTGATCTTCTTTCCCCATAATCCTGAGCTAATTTCTTAGCATCCTTAATTTCTCATTTTATTAACTGGCGATCATCAGGATGAAGAGCCATTCCTGGGCGGTGTTTGAAAAAAGAGTCTTGCCCTCCACACATGATGAACTATTGAATTAGAATGAACTAGATTCTAATGAATCAGAGAGATCTTGAGATTGGGACGAGGAGGTGCTGAAGGCCTTCCCCTGTGTCTCAGGAAAGGCTCCTAGAAAGGGCAGCTTGGCTATTGGTGAATTGGGGAAGAGCTTGTTATCAGATAGGTGATGACCATTGGCAGTGGCCCTAACAGTCCATTCTCTGGAAATTCTATTATATCCTGGAGAGCCTGTGGCATCTTCTGTGAAATCATCAGTGTTGTGGCAATGCCAACTTCCCTTGAGGCATTCATTACGTGCTTATAGAGTTCATCAACTGACATGTTGGCAAGACTGATCACAATGACTGGCAGAGAGAGCCCTAGTTTCCTAAGGAGGAGGAGAGGCTAGAACTGGGCCTTCTAGTAATGGGGTCCAGTAGCTGTGATCATGAAGCTTTTGGCCTATGCTGCTTATCTGGGTTCCTAAAGAGCAGATCCAAGGTGGAAGATTCCTGATGGTTAGTTGGCAGAGGGCCAGGATTGGTCAAGGCTGCAGCTCCTGTGCTGTGACCTCCTTCAGTTCATTCTGAGTGGCAAAGAATGCAACAGGAGGCAAAGACTGCAACAGGAGGCCCAGAACCACTAATTTGGCATCAGAATGGGATGTTGTTGCACTTTATATCTGATGTAAAAACCAATGAGAGAAACTTTCCATCCACGTACCTAGGTCTGAGACATTCAGTTCCTTTTAGTCGTGGACATAGTCTGGTCCTGGGCTTTTTTTGGTTGGGAGACTTTTAATGAATGTATCTATTTCCTTAGGGGTTATTGGTCTATTTAAATAGTTTATCTGGTCTTGATTTAACTCAGGTATGTGGTACCTATCTAGAAAATTATCCATTTCTTTTAGATATTCCAGTTTTGTGGAGTACAGGTTTTTGAAGTATGACTTTGTGATTCTCTGGATTTCCTCATTGTTAGTTGTTATGTCTCCCTTTTCAATTCTGATTTTGCTAATTTGGCTGTTCTCTCTCTGCCTTTTGGATAAGGGATTAGTTTGGATAAGGGCTTGTCTATCTTGTTGATTTTCGCAAAGAACCAACTCTTTGTTTCATTAAATCTTTGTATTGTTCTCTTTGTTTCTATTTTATTGATTTCAGCTCTCAGTTTGATTATTTCTTGCCATCTATTCCTCCTGGTTGACTTTCCTTCTTGTTCTAGAACATTCAGGTGTGCTGCTACATCACTAGTGTGAGATTTCTCCAACTTCTTTATGTGGGCATTTAGTGCTATTAATTTTCCTCTTAGCACTGCTTTCATAGCGTCCCATAAATTTGGGTATGTGGTATATTCACTTTCATTGATCTCTAGGAAGTCTTTATTTCTTGCTTGGTGAGTCAGTTGAGCATTATTCAGTTTCCATGAGATTGTAGGCTTTCTGCAATTTTTGTTGTTGTTGAAATCTAACTTTAAACCACAGTGGTCTGATTGAACACAGGAGGTTATTCCAATTTTTTTTTGTATCTGTTGAGATTTGCTTTGTGGCCAAGTATGTAGTAGATTTAGAGAAAGTTCCATAGGGTACTGAGAGAAAGTATATTCTTTTTTGTTAGGACAAATGTGCTGTAATTATCTATTAAGTCCATTTGAGTCATAACATCTGTTAGGTCCTATATTTCTTTGTTAAGTTTCAGTCTGGTAGATCTCTCTTTTGGTGAGAGTGGTGTGTTGAAATCTCCCACTACTAATGTGTGGGGTTTTAAGTTTTAGTAATGTTTCTTTTATGAATGTGGGTGTTTTTGTATTTGCGGCATAAATGTTCAGAATTGAAACTTCATCTTGTTGGACCTTTCCTGTGATGAGTATGTAATGTCCTTCTTGATCTCTTTTGATTGATTTTAGTTTGAAGTCTATTTTGCTGGATATTAGGATGGCTCCAACAGCTTGCTTCTTAAGATCATTTGATTGGAAAGACTTTTCCCAGCCTTTTATTCTGAGGTAGTGTCTATCTTTGATATTGAAGTGTGTTTCTTGTATGCAGCAGAAAGATGGGTCCTTCTTTCATATCCATCCTGTTAGCCTGTGTCTTTTTATAGGTGAATTAAGTCCGTTGATATTAAGGGATATTAATGACCAGTGATTGTTAGTTCCGGTTATCTTTTGGTGATAGTGTGTATGTACTTCTCTTCTTTGGGGTTTGCAGCTGTGGGGTTATTTATCGCCTGTGTTTTTGGGGGTGTATCTGACTTCTTTAGGTTGTAATTTTCCTTTTAGGGCTTTCTGTAAGGCTGGATTTGTGGATAGGTATTGTTTGAATCTGGATTTGTCTTGGAATGTCTTGTTTACTCTGTCTATGATGACTGAAAGTTTTGCTGGGTATATTAGTCTAGGCTGGTATCCATGGTCTCTTAGTGTCTGCATTTTATCTGTCCAGGTCCTTCTGGCCTTCAAAGTTATGACTTTTTTGGCTTGATATTTTCTTTGACTGATGAATCTATTTCCTCTATTGTATCCTCTACTCCAGAGATTCTCTCTTCCATCTCTTTTATTCTGTTGGTTATGCTTGCATCTGTGTTTCCTGTTTGTTTACTCAGATTTTCTATTTCCAGCATTCCCTCTGTTTGTGTCTTCTTCATTATTTCTGTTTCCCTTTTCAGGTCTTGAACTGTTTCCTTCACCTGTTTAATTGCTTTGTTTCTTGTGCAAATTAAGGCCTCCCCTCTCTCTCTCACTGCCCCAGAGAACCTCTTAGATCAAAAAGGACTTTCCTCTTAGCAGGCATTTCAAGGTGTGATGCATATTGAATAGCTATGAATACTTTTCCCCATCCTGTCAGGAAACTGGTGGCAGAGGGAGAAAGTGAGAGTTTTAACTTTTAGTGACCTACAGACTTTTGCTACCCTATCACCTGTAAGTTTATAGTTGAACACATTTATGATAGTCTCGTAATGCCTTCACATAACCACAATAAGGATATATTTCTAGCACACAAATTCCTTTCCTGATTTATCCCAACTTAAATTTCATAGTTCAGTACAAAAGACCCAGATTAGTCAGTGATCACAAGCAACAACAATAGTACTTGAGGTAGTACTACCACAGATTTTCAGTTACACTACAGAACCTAAGGAATTAAAAAAGAGTATGGCTTTGCCATCCAAAAATATCCATTGACTAATGAAATATAAGAACCTATACATAAATTTATATCCATATACACATGTGTCATTTAACAAGAAGTCCACAGTACATCTCAGGGATTTGACAGCAAAACTACAAATTATGCAAATCAATCCCGATAGCTATAATGAGAAGAATGAAACTCAATCCTTTACCCAGACCAAGCACAAAAGTCAACTCCACAGGAATCAATGGCCAAATACCATGACTCTGACAGAAGAGAAAGTAGAAAACAGGCTTGACGTCACTGACACAGTAAATGACTTTCTGAACAGGACCACAATAGTACAGACATTAAAAACAAAACTTAATAAATCAGACCTCATGGAATTAAAGAGTTTATTTACAGCAAAGATCACCATTACTTGAGTGAAAAAGAAGCCACCATCCTGGGTAAAAATCTCACCAGGTCCATATCAGAGATAAGCATAATATATAGAC